GTGGTGCGCGCTGCAGGTGCTGCGGCTGCAGCTGCAGCTGCTGCTGCGGGGTCTGCTGCTGCTGGAGCTGCTGCAGCTGCTGCTGCTGCTGCTGCGGGGTCTGCACGGACGGGCTCACCTGCGTGGCGGACGCCGAGCCCACCAGGCTCGCGCCCAGGGAGCTGATCAGCGGCGCCCCAAGGTTCGATGGCATGCTGGCCGCAATGGTGACCGACGTGACGATCTGGTTCATGGGCAGTCTCATGGGTAAGGGCTTGGGAGCGATGGAGCGGGGGAGCGACTGTTGAGGCAGGGTCTGGGGCGCGGCCGCCGCCGACACAGCCCCGTGTGGAGGCAGCGGAGGGTTGAGGAGGAGGGAGGATGTCAGATTGGTGGACGCCAGGGTCTGCTGAACGGAACGAATGGTCTGGGCTTCCGCCGACTCAGCGGCCGCCTGCATTCCGGGAGGGAAAGTCCCAAGTATGAAAATGCATGTGTAGTTAACAGAGTTAAGCATTCTTTTCAGGATGGCCGCCACGATGCATGCTCCCCCGTCCCTAAGCCCTTTGCGTTGGCTTTTTAGCTCGTCCCAGGGATAGAATCACATTTCCCCCCTCTTGCCTGGGGCCGGCCTTGTGCCTCTGCTCTGCTGGACAGAATGTGGTGGAAGCGAGGTCTCAAGGGGCCTTGTACCCGTCCACACACACTACCTCTCAGAACTACCACGGCCAAGTGCGATGACACATGCATGGCCCAGTTACCTGACTCAAGAGCCCGCCAACTGCCTGCCACCTATGGGAATGAGTCCATTCCCCCCTCACCCTGCCCCTGCACCTCCACAGGCATTGTCAACAGATAAGCAGATCCTGCCCACCATGCCCTCAATCTAAAGAACCAACCAGCTAACTGGCACTCCCTGAGATCAACCCTTCTCTTCTGAAGTCCCTGGCTTTGTAGCTGCTTGTTACGCAGCTATGCTGTAGGGACAGATGACTGATACACATATTGAAGAGCAACGATTCTTCAGCGTGTAAGTCGGCACTAACCTCTCCACCAAATACTGACACGGAGTACAGACTGCCTGCGTACCAATCTACCTCTGTGACTTCAGGTCTCTGTGATTTGGGGCAAATTAATTCATCCGGCTGTTCCTCAGTGTCCTTGTCTATAAAATGGTATCTGCCTTGTGTAGAGGTCGTGAGAATGAAATCATATGCGTGAGGCACTTTAGAACAGTGCCTGGCCCACGGGAAGCGTTGAGTAAATGTTAGCAGTTTTTATTAACAAGCACAGCTACCAGAAAACACCAAAGCCAGGTATGTGCGTGATTATTGTAGAACAGTGCTCACTTGGATATAAGAACAACATAATTGAATTCCTCAGAGGTACTCCCTTGAAGTGCTTTGCAGTGTGAGAAGTGGTTTAGTTTACCAAGTATTTTCAAAGAGTTCCAGAATTTACCAAAGCAGTCACGGATGAGGGAAGGATGTTTGAAACTCTTATGACTGAGTAACCTGTTATAAACAACCCCACTGGGGCTCAGCCTAGAGAGGAACTACCTATTATGTTCTGCACCGAAAACACAGAATTATTGCCTCAAAAATATATATTTTACTGATGCAACAGGGATTGGAGCGATTCCTCTTAAAGACTATATTTCCTCCTTATCCTTCACAGAACTAGAAGGTTTGGGAGACAGGGTAGTGGGGTCACCATGGAGCTATCGAGCTGATACCCACTCTCTTTAAATGATTTTGAATGTTTACGTCTGCATTTTTATCGCTCGGATTTATAAAATCTACTATTAGAAGGAACCTGACAAGTGACCTTATAGGTACAGACTAGCGATTTCCAACCTTTTTTCATCTCCTGGCACACAAAAACTATTACTAGAAGTCGCAGCACACCAAAAACTAGAGTTTTTGCTGATCTGACAACAACAAAAAAAAAGGTATAATTTTGATTCATTCACACTGGATGGCTATTATTGTATTGGCTGTCATTTTTTTCTTTTTCTTTTTTTTGTTAGTCCTCACCTGAGGATATTTTTTCCAAGGATTTTTTTATTTTTTAGGAAGAGTGGAAGGGAGCGGAGGGACAAAGAGAGAGAAACATTGATGTGAGAGAGACACATCGATAGGTTGCCTCTTGCACATGCCCCTGCTGGGGCCAGGGATTGAGCCTGCAACTGAGGCACGTGCTCTTAACCAGAATCGAATCCACGACCCTTCAGTCTGCAGGCTGATGCTCTAACCACTCAGCAACCCAACTAGGGCTGTTGTCATTTTTTTTTATTTGACAGTCTAAGAGAAAAGAGGTTGGTGCCCCTGAATAAAAGCCAAGTATTGCGTGTTTTAACAATTCTTGCGGCACACCGGTGTGCCACGCACACTGGTTGGAAATCGCTGGTATAGACAATCACTCAGTGTAGGAAAAGCCATCGCTGATGCTTCTGTTTGAATGCGTGGTATCACTGAACAGTAAGCCTCCATTAACGTCCTGGCTGCTATGGAAACTGAAAGTGACAGTAGTCACATCATAAGAGAGTGAGTCCTGGGCTCCGAAGGTGGAGACACAAGTTATATGCACATATGACGCCACCCTCCTTGTCGTGGCTCACGGGGAGGCTGAACTCATGCTCCCCATAACCTCACTCCTTGGACGAGCTCTGTGTCAGACTCAGAGAGGAAACTCCGGCCTCCGTCACATGATGGCCTTCACATCTGAAGACTAACATCATCTGCTTCCCTGTGTCTTTCAATGACTTGGTTTTCAGTCCTCATCATCAACGTTTGAGGCCACCCTCTGGGGGGGCCTTCAGCTGATCGCCATTCCTCTTTAAATTGTGGGGTCCCCCAAACAGAACCAGTTCTTCATGGGCGGGCTGATCACCACACTGTACAATGAGACGCTGCTTCCTACTCTGTGAGATCAGCAGTTTAGCCCCTTTCACATGTGCTGCCCGGGTTGAAGTTATTCTGAACTTACACCTCGAGGACTATTGTAGCCACCTGCCAGGTCTCTGAATGTAAATTTAGGAACCCCTTAAATTGCACCAACAAACAATATTCTAGATTGATTCTTTTAACATCCCATTTAATTGACTTTTCAGAGTCACTGAATCCCGTTAAAAATATATATATATATATATATTTCTGAAGCTAGTTCCTAGCATCCAATGTGTCACATTTAACATTTCCCTTCTAAGCCAGCTGCAGAGTTGATGAGCGCAAGCATGGCCGCAATTTCCTTAGTGCCTCTGAGTGAGTCACTGGCTCTGGGCTGACAGCCACCTGTGGTCAGCGACTCCCGCTCTGAAGCACAAAGATCACCTCTCCCTGCTTCGGGGTGAGTGCGTGCACAAATGCCCCCTGAGCAAGTGCGTGCGCATCCTTACTCACTTCCCCCCACCTAATGGCCGCGGACCGCACTCAATTCTGAATAGCGACGGCCCACATTCAATTGTTTTCTGCAAATGACAAATCTGAGGCCAGAACAGGTACCCTAGCTTTCTTTCTTTTTTAAATAATGATTTACTATTAAAAGTATTACATATGTCTCCTTTTCCCCCATTGACCTCTCGCAGCTGACTCCCATCCCCCAACACAGGCCCTCATCCCCCTACTGTCTGTATCCATTGGTTATATTTCTGTCCACGCATATAAGTCCTTTGGTTGATCTCTTACCACCACCACCACCACCACCACTCTCTTCTGCCTTTCCTCTGAGAAAAGATGCATAGAAGGTCTTGGGTTGCTCTCTTCCCACTCCCCCACCCTCTACCGCCTTCCCTACGAAATTCTGCACTCGGTTCCATGCTTCTGTGTCTCTGGATCCACTCCTTTCATCAGTTCATTTTGTTGCTTAGATTCCGCACAGGAGTGAGATCACGTGGGTGTCCTATCTTTCAATGTGTATCTTCCAGGAAAAAAAGGTTTGGCTATTGACCTAGACTGCTTTTCCTCCTTCTAACGAAGTGGCAAGTGTCCCACCAGCTGTCCCAGGCAGGAAGACCGCTCTTGCTCTGATTCTGAGCGCTGAGCATGGTAGATTTTAACATAAAAGGAGAGACAACTCGAAGAGAAAAAAACAGGGTACACCCTTTCAAACGGCCTTGCAACCTACCACGCCCTGAGGCCCCGAGTGGGACTGTAGGCAAAACCAATGACAAGAAGTGGAATCCCTGCTTGCCAGGGGACATACATCAAGATAAAAACCCTTAGCTCAATTTAATCTCCCCAAAGCCTCTCTAAATTCTAGGGAGGCTAAAGACAAAGTTAATTAAATGTTAAAATCATATAATGTAATAGCTCAGGCCCCTTTTGGATCAAGGTAATAATAATCTAGAGTGACATTTGCTTTGGGATGTTGGGGCACTTTATAATACATCAGGGTCCATTGTATACTCGGCGTATAATACATACACATGTCTTTATTTTTCAGTGCCGGGAGCGTAGTTTTACTTTAAATAATCATGAGGTTTATTTATTTATATGATATGGAACAGTTTGGTCAAAAAATGCAACCTCCCCTCTTGCAATAATGAAATCATTGGCGGACTTATGACATGATGTCGAACAATGCAAGACAGACAAGCCTCCCAGCTTAAACAGAGGACACTGACACACAGCCCCGTCTCTGACTTCAACGAAAGAATAAGAGGCCATTTCAAATTTGTCTAAATAGCTTCACCACACATCTAGAGACCAGTGAATCCTTTGGCAACAATTTTGATTCCGCAGCTGAAATTACTTGAATTTATCGTATTTTTCATGCCATCCTGCCAGGACTCCTTGATGGAAACAAATAAATGCATGAGTTGTTCAAGAGGCCTTTTCGGTCAAATCTGAGGCGAGTTGCATTTATGTGTTCAATGCTGGGGAGGGTGGGGGCTGCTGTTTTCAACCTTGTAGCTCTCAGAGACCGCCCCCCCGGCACAGGCTTACCTTAGACACGAGGCTGGCCCTGTATGCGGCCAGGGCCTTCAGGTACTCCTTTTTGGCAGCCTCCGTCTTCCTTTTATACACCTGCCGAAAGGCCACAATTAGCACCACCCGTTCTGAACCACGGAATAACTGTTGTACAATGTAGGTCACAACGTGACCTAATCACATTAACTCACATAAAAAGCTGGTCTCCCTGGCTTTGACCAGGGTAAACACACACACACACACACACACACACACACACACACACACACACCTCAACACAAAAACCAGCCACCCTCACTGGAACACAATTTTGATGTTTACTGTGGCAAATGAGAAAAAGATTTCAGGGTGCAGCGTAGACTCTTTGAGAGTAACAGAGGAGGGTCTCATGCGAAGGCAGTAACTAAGGAAGTAAGATTAACAACATTTGCTGCAAATGGTTGAAATTATAAAAAGTAACAAGTTTTCCCAGCCAGTGTGGCTCAGTGGTTGATAGCTGACCTATGAACCAGTAGGTCACGGTTCGATTCCTGGTCACATGCCCAGGTTGCAGGGTTTGATCCCCAGTGGGGGGCATGCAGGAGACAGCCAATCAATGATTCTTTCTCATCATTGATGTTTCTATCTCTCTCCTTCTCCCTTCCTCTCTGAAATCAATCAATATATACATTTTTTTAAAAGTAACGAGTTTCTCCATCAATGTCTTCTTTCCCGCACACACATTTATAAGTCAGAGAATTAAAACAACAATAACCAGTCCTGGCTGGTTTGGCTCAGTGGATAGAGCGTTGGCCTGTGGACTGCAGGGTCCTGGTTCGATTCCGGTCAAGGGCACATGCCTGGGTTGCAGGCTCGTTCCCCAGTAGTGGGTGTGCATGAGGCAGCCGATCAATGATTCTCTCTCATTATTAATGTTTCTATTTCTCTCTCCCTCTCCTTTCCTCTCTGAAATCAATAAAAATATATATTTTTTTAAAAAACAAAACAAAACACCAACAACAGGTAGAGTGTGTGAAGACAGAAAGGATAGAGACCTTTGGACCTTGGTTTTCTTTTGCAGAGAAGAAAAGCCGTACAAAGTAAAAGTTGGGAGATTTCCATTAGTGAGATGCATAAGTTACCAAAACACTTCCCAGCATATTCCATATGATTTGGGCTTCTTTTCCTAACAAGGACCTGATGGCTAAGTATTAGACCAAAGCCTATCTTTCTCCCCGGAGTTGAAAAGTTGGGTGAAGCCATTAGCCAGACCCTTCAGGTTACATGTCTGGGGTAGAAAATCAGACTGCTACACACTGCAAATGCACAGGCAACCTCTGCAGTTGCCCCCTCCCAACAAAACCAGCTGGTAAAAATGATATCATGATTTGTCAAGAAAGGAAAAAAATCAAGGCTTTTCCACTCTCCAACCCTGAAACAATTATTCTACATTCTTACGAATAGGGATCTATTCTTCCAGTTAACGCCTATTAATGGTCATTGGAGTTTCATCGCAAGGAGCCAGGGGAGGACTGACCCCCAGGGAAGCCTTTGTTTTCTGGGCTGTGTGGAGGAGTTGCAGGGAGAAGGAGGAGAGACCAGGCCCAAAGGAAGTAGCTCCCACCAGCCTGGCTAATCTCCCAATACCTCTCACACTGCCAAGCTTTCAAATGAACCTGGCATAACATTTCAAATGCCTGGGGAAAATAATGAGACACACAGGGATGGCTTCAAAGTTTGGAAACCCACTAGGATAGCATGCGAGTTCAGAAAGATGATCACAGAACAGGCAAGTGGGCTGGACCTTGTGGCTTTGTGGTACCCCTTTTGAACAAAGGGGGAAAACAGTCCGCATTATTTAAAATGAAGAGATTAAAATCAAAAGTGTATGCTTGCAGGGTACTGCCTGGATTTCCTCCAACTCTCCTCTGAGTGGGTTCAGATCACGCATCCTTATAGGAACTGAGAAATCCATATAACTGGAGCATGGGTTGTGTTCATATATTCATATATATTTGTGTGTGTGTGTGTGTGTGTGTGTGTGTGTTTTCCACTCCATAGTTGAGAAAGGATTTTGTGGGAAGTGATCATATTAAATGAACATATTCACTCAGAAAAGATATTGCCCTGGGGGTGCAGCTCAGTTGGTTGGAGCATCATCGTCCGATGCACCAAAAGGTCCCGGTTCGATTCCCGGTCAGGCCACATGCACAGGTTATGGGCTTGGTCTCTGGTAGGGAGCGTGCAGGAGGCAGGCAGTTGATAGTATGCAATCACAACAATGTTTCTCTCTCTCCCACTCCCATCCTCTTTCTCTAAAAAATCAATTAAAAAGTATTATTTTTAAAAAAAAAGATGTAAGGAGCCACCTGGCTAGGTGGCTCAGTGGGTTGGAGCATCATCCTGTACACCAATAGGTTGCAGGTTTGACTCCCTCAGGGCACATACCCAGGTTGCGGGTTCGATCTCTGCTCAGGGCAGGTACAGGAGGCAACTAGTTGATGTTTGCTCTCTCTCTCTCACCCCGCCCACTCTAAAATCAATAAAAATTAAAAATAAAAACATCCTCAGGTGAGGATTTTTTTTTAAATTAAAGCTGTAAGGAACACCCTGGCCACATTTTAGCACTGTGGCCACCACGGAGCTCTGTCTTACCTGCTTTTGTTCCTCTCCAAGGCTGTCCCACATGGATGCCACGATTTTTGAGACCTCTCCAAAGGTGGCGTTGGGGTTCTGACCTTTAATGGCTGCCTGTGTGTCCCTGAAAAACAGGGCATATGCGGACACTGGCTTCTGGGGCTCGTTGGGATCTTTCTTTTTCTTTTTCTTTGGAGTCTTGGGCTTCTTGCCAGAATCTGGAGCCGCTCTTTTCTCCCCGATGGCCTGCAAAGCACGAAGAAAATTCACTGCCTGGCACGTCTTTGCAGCAAGACCTACTACTCGGGTCCGCAATTGTTCTTTTAAGGTTTGGGGAAGCATCGTCCACAGATGAGCCACCAGGCAGAGCGGGGGAGGGGCGGATTTGCTTAGAGTTCACTGGACAGCAGGGATTAGCATTTAGAACTTTGATTAATGAGATCCAGAGGTATCTCCAATCTAGTTACAACATATGCTCTAAATAGCAGTTATGAGTAATGAAAAATAACCCTCTCTAACCAGGCAATGCGCACGCTCGCTCGCTCTCTCTCTCTCTCTCTCTCTCTCCCTCCTTCCCTCCCTGTGCGCACACGCACACACACACATACACTAAGGCTACACATATATACATAAACAAAATATTTCACTTTTTCAGGGGTTTTAAAAGTAAACCTAAGTAACATTCAGGATCTCAGTCCTATTCAGATATTTTAAATGCGGCCCCTTGCCATAGTCACATGCCATATGCAGGATGGGTCTGAATTGATTTTTTTTTTTTTGGAGGCTGATTTTTATTTTGTCAGAGTGTTATTTTATGAACGGGTCTCCGGACACTCAACTAGAAATTAGCTAGCACCCCTAAGATTATACAATAAGGATAAGGTCATCTTTATTTGCTAAAACATTAACTTTCTAAAGAAGAGGAGAATGAGAAATGCATGTCAAAACTCCTTTAATGGGAGATAGAAAGGAAACTGATACCCTTCACAGAATTAAAAAACTGTGATAGGGCAATAGTGGATCTTAAACTCACCACGGCTAAAAAGAAGACCAAGAAGAAGATTTTTATTACATACTGGAGGCCCAGTGCATGGATTTGTGCACTGGTGGGGTCCTTCGGCCTGGCCTGTGCCCTCTCACAATCTGTGACGCCTCGGGGGATGTCAGAGAGCCAGTTTCAGCCCCATCCCCACAGGCCCCATCCAGACAGGAGAAAGCCCGATCCTATGCATTGAGCGTCTGACCCCTGATGGTCAGTGCACGTCATAGCGACTGGTCAACCGGTCGTTTGGTCGCTTAGGCTTTTATATATATAGGTGGTAAATAAGCTTGCCCAGAATAATACTGCCACACAGATGCTCACACAGATTCCCAATATGAGCTCCTAGAAATGATATGGATACAGCCCGGCAACCATATAAACCACGGACTTCCAGATTCCCCTGCTACCACCACCTGATTCCAAACATTCTATACTCATCAGAGAAGCAGGCGAAATGATGGATCAACCTTGTTTCATCCCCTTAGATGATCATGTGACTACACCGGGGATCATTTTGCAGCTACTTCATCAAGAATGTGGACATGTTTGACCAAAAGCTGTCTTAAAAGCCAGCCTGGGGCAAGACCAGCAGAGATAAATTCAAGCTACAAACAGGTTGGCTTCTCATGGCCTTGGGTCTTAAACCTTAATTCAGATTTTCCAAGAGTATCATTACTTTCTGGATGAGGGGCATTTGGAACTTAACCCAACTACTAAAATTCTTGGGGAGGAAACAGGGTACGTAGCGTGTCTGTGAGAGCGTGGAATCCCCAAGTGTTGGGAAATGGCTAGTCTACTTCCAGGTAAACTCACTGTCGGCACTATTTGAGAGGTAACAATGTCCACACTTTACGCAAGCACCGCACATACTTCAGATGGCGGTAAGCCATATTCACCTTTCCCCAAAGGCCAGCTTGGATAACACACAATTAACCCAGCAAAAGTTTACAGGCCACATGGTCTTCTTTTCTAAATTCTCAGAGTAAGTGAGACTTGTTTAGCTCTAGTTAATGAATCTGAACTTGCAGAGGAGTCAGATGCCTTTTAGACAGAACTTCAATTAAAGCCAAGTTTTCCTTCAATGAAAAAATATTACTTTAGTATATATATATATATATATATCGGAAGCTGACTGTGAATTTTCTGGTTCAAGTGTTGCCCCTGCCACATCCTTATTATGTGACTTCTTGGAAGTCTCTTAAACTCTCTAAGCCTCAGCTCTGGCAATTTCTAAATGAGTCAGGCTTCTGTATTCTTTTCCTGGGGAGGAGGGGCGGACATGTAGCACTGTTTGTGCCAACAATAATACTCTGGCCAATGGCAAGATTTAATTAATTTCCAGGGCAGCTTTTTCCAAATAAGAGGCGTCCAATTTCATTCTTTGAAAAACAACATTCAAATGTTGACAATTTTTAGCATCTTTCTTGGATAAACTTGACTTGCCCTGATCGCCATTCCCTTTTAAGAACCAACAAGAAATGAAGAATCTCACCCATTTAAATAAAAGCTCAGAATGAACTCTCCTAAAGAAACTTTTTTGTAGTTGATCAAAAAGTGTTGGGAAAGGTGAAGAAATAGCTTTACCCCAAAGGCATAATCAATGATAAAATTAATCTTCCTTTCCCAGCTAAATTGCTTAAAATGGAAACTGGATTTTTTCCTGGTCTTTACGTAAAACACAGAGAGTCACTTAAAATGGAGCAAGCTTAGGAGTCACAGAAAAACTTCCCTGTAGACAAGACAATTTCAGCCTGGCACGGAGGTAAGTATTAACATCAGCGGAAACAGGAGTGAAGTGAAAGGTGTCCATTGGGCTTGTGTGATGACCATCTATCACTGAGCTGTTAATCACCCCTTGGTTTCTTTCATCGTTATTTCTGACTTCACCTCACTGAAGTCCTTGTGTGAGCAGAGACTGTTAGTGCATTTGCCTGCCCTGTGTCCAATGGGTGCTAACCAGATGCCATCGACCAAACCCTCCCTCTTGAAATCCCTACAACAGGACTCTCCCTGCCCCTTGTTCTCATCCACTCCGTCTTCTCTAACTTCTCTTCTTCCATTTGCTACTTAAAAATAAATGAGGCTCTGGGTTCTGGCCTTGACTTGCTCCTTGGACACTTGTAGGAACTCTTGATTACTCCCATGTCTTCATGTTTATGTGCTGAGGGTCCCAAGTCTGTAGTTGCACTTCTAATGAGCTGAGTTCTAGACTCAACGATACGCGTCTCAAGTTCAACCCATCACATGCCGAACTTTCACCTTCCCCATCAGGCGGGGAAAAAATAACACGCCTGAGTTTCTTGGGTGACCCTCTCATTTACTGGCATGCATGGTGGCTCTTAAGCTAAAACCCAATTTTTCTCCTTCTTCCTTCAAACTCCTGTGGGTCACCAAACCCCGATGACTCCCTCTGCAGCGTCCCACTGATCTGGCACCTCCAGTCCACTCCTTCCCTTGCTAACATGACACACTGCATAGAAAGCGTCTTCTCATTGGTTTCCTTTTCTCAAGTCCCGCCCTCTGTGACGCATTCTATAGATAGCCAGAGTTATCTTTCCAAAGCCTAGATTTGCTTTTACCATCCCACTATGCAAATAATTAATCAGCCCTCAACTACCCACAGGAGAAAGGCTACCACATTGGAACCGTGTCTTTCTCCAACTCCTATCTTTCCTCCTTCATATCACACTGTTCATGATGGCCATAAATTCCAATGTGCTTCCATTACTCTGTCTACTGGGGGCTGGCTTCTCTCCTCTGCCTCACAAACTTTTATGTATCCTCTTAGACCTAATTCAAATATCAGCTCCCCAATAAAGTGATCCTCAGGCCACGCAGAATGGATTACAATGCCAGGGCACCAGGTACACCCATTACAACGCTAATCACATCTGCAGCTCCTTTTCAACGTGGCTCTTCCTCCCCAGTGGGGAGTCCCGTGGGCAGTAGCTCTTACAAATCTTTATCTCGCCAGAACCAGGTAAGATGCCAAGCACACAGTATTTGTACAACCTCTAACTCATGAATAAGGAAGGAGTAATTGTGGGCCTAGAATAAGTCAATTTAATGAAACGGAACACTTTTCTAGGCATTCAGAAAAACCACGCCTGCAACTAAGCTTTTACTTCCAACTATGTATATTTAAATAATACACACTTCCCAGGACAAAAGCAAAGGTGTAAGACAATTAGAACGTCATGAATGATAAACACCATCCAAGGTGTAAGGCTATCAGATGGGGTGGCAGCTCAGCTAACTAACTGGATGAAACTTCCCCACATGAACATTAAATTAGAACCAAAGCATGTTTAGCATACAAGTGTACTGCGGGCCCTCCCTTTAGCATACGCAGAACATCAGGCCTAGCGGAGTTAAATGAACCTGCTCAATCCCTTGCAACTAGCAGGAGAAGCCAGAGCTCCCAATTTCTGGTCGAATACATGTTAAACAGGAAATAAGTGAAAGAGTGAAAAAAGTAATCATCATTCATTTAAATGCCAACACGAATCCATGAAGAGAAAGAAGGTGACACCATGAATGAAGTTGAAAGACATGAGGAAG